GATAGTTTACAGATTAAGCTTACTAATATCTAGGTTTATCTGAATATTAGCTAGTTTTGGAGTCACAGCATACACCTGCACTACTTAAGAACCTGTGTTACAGATAGTGATGGCCGAACGAGGCTCCACGAAGCTTCGAACCCTTTTGGACCATTGTATTGAAAATTGGTTCACTACTGGAAGCGTCATTCATTGAGCACGTGGGTGACATCTACTGGCACAGTGGCTGTTGTACAGCCTTGCAAAGGTGACGCTGATGCACTTTGCATGTGCACTGTGAGCTTTGTTGTACTGTGGAAATTATTTAAATGAAGCTGAACTCTAACTTCATTTACACGTGTCTGTCATTTTTCTTCCTTGCCTTATAAAGTATCTTAAATGAAATGCTGACCAAGTAATTGATCCTAAGAATTTGAGATGGATTTATAATTACTGATCCCAAATTACACACTGGACAGAGCAAATATTTACAGGGTTAAATGATCAGACTGACACAATCTCTCTGTCTGACCCACGTCACCCACATGCTCAATGAATGAAGCTTTAGTAGTGATCCAGTTTTCAATACAATAGTCCAAAAGGGTTCAAAGCTTCATGGAGCCTCCTTTGGCCATCACTACTTGAGATCATGGCTAAGGTGAGTAGAAAAGAACGTAGTCTTCCAAGTGAAGGACTGAGCCAGGGTAACCTGGAGGAGTAACTCACAATGACCTGGCGTCAGCTCAGCATCTTTCTGCGGCTTAAGAATGTAAGTATGTTAATTACTAATGCGCTGCAGCTGTGAGCCACAATCAGGGAGCCAGCGCAGGCAGAGACATGCAACCATTAGATGAATGAGGAAATTAAATGGTTTTCTAACATACTTTATCATTAACATTACATGTTTGTATGTGTCACATTCTTTTCCAGTTGATTTATTTAAGTAACTGTTCTTGCGAGGTTTTGTGAGTAATTTCCCCAAGTGGCCTCTGATTTCATGCATGGGATCGAGGCCATCTTCCTGAGCGGCCTTCTCCGTCTAGCTTCACCAATACCTCAACTCGGAGGTGTCATGGTGTTAAAAAGCCAAAGGAGTCAGTCTAATTGTGACTGAATGATTTTAACTGAAAGCTTAAACCCTTATTTATTTTTATAATGATCCTTACAAACAAAAACTCTTTAATGTATCACAGACCATAGGGTGGCGTAGTTATTGGTAAGAACACACGGAGCCAGCATGCTGTTAACTCATCTTTACTGATTCAGATCCTTATCACAGTATTACAACAGTTTTGACTTCCAGCAAGGCAAGGGTCTACAACAGGAAGAATCACAAATGTACCAGAGTCACAACTACAAATCAATTGGCAAATATCAAGTAAACATTCTTAGTCGCTGTATTAACCGACTTCCAAATTTGTCGCCCTGGCCTTGCAGGGTGCTCGATTGCTGCGCAGTTCCATTGCCTCATGTCCTGTCAGCCAACAGAGCCTGCCCGTCCCATCTAGAACCTGCTCTGCTCCAGTCCCGTCCAGTACCGCTCTGCCTCTGTTCCCCTCTCTCCTCAACTCTGTAATCTGTTCCTCATCTGTTCCAGGTGGGTTACGGCCTCTTGCAGATGCAGCAGAAAAAGTCCATCGGGCCCGTGCAGTAGACTCTTCCTGATCTGCTCTGGCATCTGTGATGTTTCTAATTAAGTCATTTTTCGTCCTCCATACATTGCAAGGCACAGGGCGCGCGAGAAATCTTTTGAGAACGGCGCATGTGAAACGGTTAAACCCAGGGACAGCTCTTAGAGGGCGAAGCCTATACGAAATAGAATATTAGGTTTGAGCTGTACTCTTGTTTTTGTAGGTGCTCATTATGCAGTTGCTAAAGCTACATAATAAAGCTAAAGAAAACCTGTATCTAAGCCAGTTGGTTAAACAAACTCGTAGATAATGGCAAAAGCATCAATACAGGTGTTAAGTTGTCGTGGCCGAGTGGTTAAGGCGATGGACTAGAAATCCATTGGGGTCTCCCCGCGCAGGTTCGAATCCTGCCGACAACGTTTGACTTGTAATTGTTTATTCATTTTATTTTTATAAATGCCAAAAACTTAACACTACTTTATCCAAACCTTTCCCTAAATAAACATTTGTACGTTAGGGCGAATTAGGATAACATTTAACTATAGCGTTCTGCAAGTGTAAAGGCGAATGGAATTAACAAATAACACTTTTTCCCGTTTCATTTTCAGAATAAAATCCTGGAGTGTTTTGATATAAAATAAACATGGCGCCACCACAATGAGGTGCTGATTTTAACTTTATACTGTTTCGTAAGGCAAGACTAGGTTACTTGTATAAAATCTCTGAACCATGTATGTGTTTTACATAAGGCATGAATGCAATAAGAACAGATATAAAGTCGGCAATGGTATGTAAAAAGATCACCTAAAAACACTGAACAAATACACCAATGTATTTAAAAGGAGTAAAACAGACTTGAATAAAATAGAAGTAAGCTAAAATTGAATACTGCTAGTTTATTCAGTAAACGGCAAAATAGATACAGTAGATCGATAGATCAATAGATAGATAATTTAAAAGGAGCCAATGTAATTACATTGTAATCTTAATTATATTATATGTTGGGCTCCTTATTTATTATTATTTGCACATATATTTGTACATTGGACAACCACTTTATAGTAAGCTATGGTAATGCGCATGTAAATGTGATTATCAATGTGTTGTAATGTATTATCATTTAATTTCTTTTCATTTAAACTGTTAATTTTTAAGTTTCTCTAATAACCTAATGCTGGCCTTATGAATAACAGTTATTATTTTTTCTAGGGTATCTTTTAATTACAACTTGATTATATTTATGTAGTTTGCTAACTGATATGTAAATTATTGATTTTATTGTATTCCCAAAACACACACACACACACACACACACACACACAGAGGGCACACAAACACAGAGGCGAACACATGTAAATTATTGATTTTATTGTATTCCCAAAACACACACACACACACACACACACACACAAAGGTCGCACTAATACGGAGCTGCAAGCATTTTTGACATTTATTTTGAAGTTGGAGTCATTGCATTTCCGACTTCCGACTTTTTCCTTGTTACCAAGCAACAGCGAACGCCCTGACCTGAGATGTGTGCCAGCTGGTCTACTTGGGTTAGCGGATAATTACAGACTGAGCTAACTAGCAGACATGGACAGTGGTGATGACCTGGACGAATTGTTGGATGAAGTAGAACAAAAGTTTTGTCGCAATGTTTCTGTCGCGTCTTCAGTTCGCGAATCCCCGAGCGAGTCTGGTAAATGCGGGAAAGACAATGACGAACAGAAAGAACACAGGTAAACAAAGCTAGTTTGGTTAGCAGATGTCAGCTATAAGCTAACGTTAAACAGTGGCGTGTGCAATGTGATAGTACGTTTGAACATTACTAAAACATCCTAGCGTCTCTGTCTTGACATCTAAAGAACTATATGTTCTGGGCGTTAATGTTCAAACTTTAGCTAATTATTCTACAAGCTAACCAAAGATGAATTTCAGTCAAGGTAGCTTGTATACTGAGTAACAGCAGCTCTGTTGCTGGGAAATGTATTATATCAATAAAAATATTTGTGAGAAGATGATTATTTGGGGTTTTTATATCCTCATAGCTGAAACTATAAGGGATACGTATCTTTATACTTAATTGAGCACTTTCTATATTTTGTCAGAGGTATTATATTGATATACTGATTAGTTTAGAATTTGTGTACCTTGTGGATTAGTAAACCTTCAAACCAAGGCTGTAGCCAGGATTTTAGACATACAAGGGTTATGGGGAACATCCACCCAATACACCTCCTGCCCAAAAATGTAAGTATACACACATACACGCACAGAAAGAGAGAGAGAGAGAAAAGCCTAAAATGATTTCTTATTATTTGGCTTTTCCACATTTACATGAAACTTAATCATAGAGGTTTACTGTCAAAAGTACTCATTGATATTTACTATTGGAATTCCAAGAGCTGCTAAAACATAAAAGCACAAATGTATGTTTTTACTGCATCAGGTTTAATTCCACAAAACCTGAACTTTCAATGAGTAGCATCACTGAGGATGTTGACGCCTTTCTGGAAGAATTACTGGAGGAAGACCATGAAAGTTCCCTTCAACCAGAGGTAAACATGCACCTTCTCTGAGCACTGGGAACAACACTCTACTAATAGATAGTATAGTAATAGAAAGATTCTGCTTTATATGTTTCTCAAGGTTAAATATTAACAAACTAAAATTAATATTCTGGAAGTATCATTACTGAAAATACACACCAGGGATAACACAAACAATATTAACAGACATCACACTGTGCATGCAAGCATAAATATCCAATTAAGATGCATGTGGAGGTGTTTGAGTTTTAAAAAAGTATACAAATTTGTAGACAAGTACAGTTATAAGAATGTTATCAACTTATCATGTGATGTAAATCCAAATTCATGAAAGCATGTAAGTCTTGCCAAAATGATAAATGGGAATAGAAGTACTTAAAATGCCAGCATTTTAAAGTAGTACTTTTGCACAACACAAGCAAATGAACCTGTTTACATTTCACCCTTCTTGACATGCAAACACTGTTATCATGCAGCTGCACCATCTCCTAGTATCTGCATTATGAAAAACAAATTAGAACCATACACAGACACCTGGGTTTGCTAATATGACAAATATGAATATGTTAGGTTACAAAAAATGCACCAAAGAGCCATGGTGGCAAACTGGCAGTCATATATCTATAAAGATTTACAGTAATCAACTTCCAATGTAAGAATATTTTTTTCCACCATGTGGTGATGTAATCTGCTCTTTTACCTTTCATTTCAGACTGAACCATTTACTAAAGGACCAAAGGTGGAGAAGAAGCTTCCATCTCAGTCTGGAGGGAGGAAGTACTTAATTTAATTAATTCTGAATAAAAAGAACCAGCAGGTGGAAATAATAATTACAAGATAGAAACAGAGAGAGAAAATGTCTTCAACCATTCTGAAAGTGCTGTTCTGCTCTGTGAGCAGATAACGCCAGCAATGCCTTTAACAAAACACTTTCGGATATGTTCAGCCAAATGGTTGGTACTTTGTCTCAGTCGGCATCTATAATACAGTTTATTAATTATGAAAATTATAAGTAATCTTTGCAGGTGTTTTGTGTTCAGTAAACAAAAGCCCCATAATGACAAGCAAATAAAAGCAGCATGATTCTTAAAAGTTTCTAATCATGTTTCCCAGGTTCTGCTTTTTAAAAATGCCTGTTGTTGAATTGATCTGTTGGTTCTTTTAATTTTCTTAAATCTGGATGCTGTTGTAATGTGTGTTTGTCCATGTTCTGCATTGTTCGTGTTTCACCCAGGTGCTTTCCTGTCTTCGTTGGCGGGAGCTCTGTCACAAACGGTGTTGGAACAGCCACATCCAAGAGGTGCGAAAAAAAAATTTCATACTGTGAGTGTCTGTCTTGTCTTGCCTGTTTATAATGATACAGAACACTGGTATAAATTATTTTTCATAAATTTTGACTAATTAATTTTCACTGAGTTGTCTCCAGTATACTCTATTTGTTTAAACCAGTAATACAGTGAGTTAGTGCTCTTAATGTGATATACTGATAAATATTTAACACTGATCATGTTTATTTTCCCTTAGATTTATAAAATACAGCTCTGTAAATAATAATAATGGACCAATGATGTGTTGACAGGTCATGTGGCCAGTTGAGGTGTGTATCCTGTGACTTCTGGGTGCTGATGTTTGATGACTGTGAGTGGGACTTGTCCTGTGATTACCTGTTCCTCAGGTGAGTCTGCAGACTGACAGCAGTGCAGTTCTCTCTTAAGAACAAAACACAACAAATACACACACAAAAAAACCTCCACACACTAGTCACCACAGATCTTGTCGGGTCATTGCTTCTTAACTTTTAGCAACTTCATTTAGCAGTTGTATTTTTCTTTTTGTTTCTACTGACCCCTTACATTTATTTTGTAACCCCTTCAGGGGTCCCAGACCTCAGGTTTAGAGTAATCATTCTATACTAAAAATTAATTGTCTAATCTATCAGCTCTTGTTTGTGGTGTTGTCAACCTTTTGTTACAAGCTGCAGGGTGGTACTCGGTTCTGACAGACAAAATGACTGTAGACGCAGTGGGGGTACTAATGCAGCAAAAAAGTTGAACGTGGCTCAGTGCCATGAACCAGTATCATCTGAAATGGTGCTGTGCTGGCCAATCCATGTGGGCATGTTATACATGAACATTGTGTTACTGTTCATATCGCAGTTGTGGCGAAACAAAAAGATTGACACCGTGGTAACTTCTAGTGTTATACACCAGAGTGTAGTGATTTGGTGTTGAATGAGGGATTTCTTCATCTCATGTTCACCTGAAACAACAATGTGGCTGTGTTGTTTTTAATGCAAGTCTGGTTCTGGTCTGCTTGTCATGAATGTCATTGGTACACTACTAAAGGTTTGTGGAAAAAAAAAAGTTCATGGTATTACAAAACAAAAATTACATCAGTGTCATATGTGTGATGTTGTAATAGTCTTGTAGTGCCTGGAATCACAACAAAAAATCCTCTCACACCAATGGAAGCTGACATACCAAACATGTATCACATGAGGCGACAAGCAACAGTGACAGAAATCTGCTTTCTTCATTTGTACTGTAGTGACGTAACTACACTCAGCTGTCAGTTAATAAGGCACCAAGATAAAACCAGAGCCCTTAAGATAGGAGAGCTGTGACACTGAGGGGTCAAAAATGGCAGCAGGTCATGTGACTCGTGTAGTTTCAAATAGTTTCAAACAGCTGACTCAGATCCGTTGTTTTCTGTAGGGAACAGCGGGATTTATCACTAAATTACTGCTTTTATTGACATGTATATTCTTGAAATGAATTCTGTGTTCTGCTGTTGTAGATAGCTCAGCTAATGTAGCTTGTTAGCTAGGTACCTACAGTAATTGTTAAAGTGGCACAACATTTGAGAGAGACAGTCAAAAGGTTGTAAAACACGTTTTGACACTTAAAATGTGACAAGTATAATTATTGCTATTGATTTCAACTTCTTACTTTAAAAGACAGCAGCCAAGTCAAAGTAACTCTGTGGCTCTGCTCCTAATTTTGGAGCTATTTAACATTCCCATCATCCACCTTTACTGTAAAAAAAAAAGGCCCTTATAGAGCCATTGGAGATGTTGTCACTCCTCTTAATCCACCTGGCTAAAACTAAGTCAGTCCAGATTAACAGTCCTGCATTAATTCAGCCTTTATAACAGAGATGATGTTCAGATTTTGTTGAAAATTGTCTTAGTCCTATCTCTCAATGGTAAAGAATCTTGGATCCAGACAGTGATCCGGATCCTTTGTTCCCTTCATCTAAATCTATTCATAACTTTTTTGAGTTATGTTACTAACTAACTAACTAACAGAGAAGCAAACACCAGTAAAATCACAACCCCTCCCTTGGCGGAGGCAATTAGGTGTGCCCAATAAACTGACAGCTGAGTGTGACTGAAATGTTTGGGACATTTTCGGTTTGGGCAGAAGGTGGCAGTATTGAGCCATGAAGCCACTTTCCTCTTTTTCACTTATTTCTTTTCTTCACATCATTAACATTAAGACAGCATCTAAAACTAGTGTGTAGAATATGTATGTACGGGACACTGTCTGGAAACCACAGCATCCCATGTTACTTGGAGTTTTGAGACTTGTTTACAGTTTGTTAAGCTAATTCAACCTTACATGGACATTCTTCACATTTGTTTTCTGTCACAGTCACTATAAACCAGACAACAGCAGCTATGGGAACATTTCTGCAGAGCAGTGTGACCCGAATACAAACAAGCAGAATTATTGTTAAACCCAGACAAAACCCACAATGTAAAACAAGTGTGTAGTAATGAAGAAGGGATTAAACCAACATATAAGAGAGTACAGGAAGATGCTTTGTCTCACTTTGTCACTTTGGATCAGGTTTTTTAGCCTCACACTGGAGAAGTTCTGGAGTTGCAACTTCTTTGATTTCCAAATGGAGAATCGTAGATAATTATATCCTCAGAAAGTGTACCTCACTCTGAGTTGAAAACTGTTATTTTGTGTGCTCAGATTTGACTGAGTGATGACAAGAAGAACAGCTGTGACACACACACTGTGCACATTGGGTGCAGATCTTTAAAGTGCCTTATCTGTCTCCATGAGAAGTCTGCTGCTGCATCTGCTGTGTGTACCGATCGACAACAGTGCATCTGTCACTTTCACCTCACATCTCTCCCAGCATGTTCCCCACAGTCTGAAAACCTCTAATGCGTAGGCCTATACATAAATAAACGCTGATTATTTTAAAACAACTGTCTGCCTGTCAAACTGAGGGTGAGAGTGTAGCGTCTGCAGGTGGTGCGCTTTACTTTGTCTCCACAGCTGTGATGGCTATCCCTGGGCATGTAAATGACCCAGCTCATCTTTTTCTTTTTTTCATTACTGCCACCAAGGGCAGGGTTTATGTTTTTTCTGGTTTGTTTGTTTCATGTACATCACACTACTCTGTGTGCTGCTGTTAAATGGCCATCTTTGTATGGCAGCAGACTCTTGCATTGGTTGGTTTTTATATATAAAATGCCAGGCTGGTTCTCCCTTATTTATGTACTTATATGTGTTGGTCGCCAGAGTTAGAACAGAATTAGGCAATTTACTATTCCCTTTTTTTTTATTTACATACTTGGCGATAAAGATTTTGATTCTGATTCTCACAACAGATACTGATTCTTCTTCTGTCTGTTCAGGAACAACATGCCGGACTGTCAGAAGCTCAGATCCAAGCTGAAGAAGAAGACAGGGGTACGGGCGTACGCCTGCCAGTGCAGCTGGTTCTCCTCCTCAGAGCTGACAGACCTCAGGGACCTACCTCAGCTCAGATGGGTCTGTGGAAAACATCGGGACTGATGTTCACTCCTCACTGCTGCAAAGCAATCTCTCTGGCCAGTCATCTCTCTTAAACTCCGCTTGACTTTTGAAGCATCAGAGACATCAAAATGTCACGAAATCTAGCTTTGGAGATAAATATCTGACTTTTATTGGTCTGTGACACATTTTCTATGTGACTGAAGAAAAAACATGGCTCCAGAAAAGGTCAGACAAATGTAATATGAGTTGTTTCTTTTACTTGAGTATGATGAAACAGACAATAATATGGACCAAACCGAACCATAGACAGGGAAAAATAGAATGTCCAGAAAGCACCGCGCTGTAGAGTTTAAAAGTCTGTATATAGTCAGATGTCACACTGTAACTACATCTATATTGATTTTTACAACATTAATAATTTTCTCATCCTTATCAATCAAAACCTTTGTGAGAAAATGTCTTTTTAAAAATAAATTGTCAATGTTTTAACTTCAACTTCAGTTTATTTCTGCCATCATTAAATTTTGTTCTAAAATAATGTCCTTGTTTAGTTTTACGTGATGCTAGCTGCTTATACATATATGAAAATAATTAGTTCAAACCAACTTTGCTTTGGTTTGCTCTCTGTCACAGACTTCAATCAGTCTGTACAGATTTCATCTGCTCCTAATGTGCAAAGTCAAATCCTGGTTGATTCTGTGATTTTCCATATCTGAACTCTTTCCTACTCTAAAGCTTCATTCACATCTCAGCTGATGGTTTTTGTTTTTCCCTCTCAGTGATTCTGATGTGTCCACAGCAGTGTGAACAGACCAAACCAAGTGTCCTCAGATCAGATCTGGGCCACCTGTGTATGTGCTCCTAGATCTGATTCCTCTCCGACCTCTGACTGTGCAAGCACTGTTAGAACAGTCAGATCAGAATCCATGTGGCCATTTTAAAATCTCCTCCTCTGCACATACGGCCTGTCGTCATCATTCGGCGTCGGCCCCTCACAGACCGGTAACAATAAACATGGAGGAGAGTGTTGACAACAACTTTAATTTTTTAAAATTCATGCTACCCATCATGTCTTTGTAATGACTTCATTTGCAATCACATCATCTCAAAGATTTGTTTCAGTCTGAGCTTTGTAAACAAGTAAACACTTCAGTAAGGAATAAGTAACACTTGTCTGTCACATACGTAACTTGAGTGTATTCATGCTACCCATCAGGTCTTTGTAATGACTTCATTTGCAATCACACCATCTCAAAGATTTGTTTCAGTCTGAGCTTTGTAAACAAGTAAACACTTCAGTAAGGAATAAGTAACACTTGTCTGTCACATACGTAACTTGAGTGTAGAAGTGAAGTTCTTATAGTTATGTATTTCTGATCAGTAAATTATAACAAAAATTTTCCAATAACAACCACGTCACTGTAGATACGTTATTCTTCTCTTCACCGTGCGCAAACAGCCAGCGAGAGGTAATAGTCTATTTCTGTGAATGAATCCTGGTGAACCCCATTGCAGCCTCTCACCACAGGCAGTGACGACCGTGCTCTCTGCTGTTTAGCAGAAATGATGAGCACCTGCTGGGATCCTGGTGACGCTCCGCTGGGGAGCAATGCTGACTGTATCTGAGGAAAACGCTGGTTTTCCTGCTGCGAGGAAAGAGACTGTCAGAGCTCTGTGATGTGACCAGTCAGCAGTGACAGCTGATATGAAACACAGTGCTGTTTGCTCTGCTGGACTGGCTGTGTGAGAGGTGAGTGGCAGTGTGTATTAGTTGTTGAATGTCTTTAATCACTGGCTCTAACCTTATTTTAATAGGCAGTTTTCAGTTCACTTTCTGCACTAATGAATAGGCTTCCGTTGCTAAGAGGCACAAAGGCCTGAAAATCTGATGTTGACTAGATGTTTTTCTTTTTTTCCTGAGTGCAAACATACAGAAGATAATCTGCATCCAACCAGTAATGTGAGATATACTGTACACCCCAGATTTTAACATGGTGTTAAGCAGGTGTTCTGCTTTTTTTCAGCTTAAAGATATCAATCAGACAAACAATAAAATGTCCTGTCAGTTACTGACTAGATGGACATAATACTGATGCTGGATAATCAAGGTCCTCTGAGGATGTGCTGTGTTTTGGTGATCCCTTCCTGACCTTTCATCTAGTATCAGCACAAGGTGCAAAAAAGCAGACAACAGAAATACAGAAACAACTGGTGAGCTTTCTGTGGTGTTGTTGTACTGTACCTCTGACTAACACATTTTCATCTGACTCTTCAAAACGCTCTGGGACATAAAATGGTTTGCATAGAGTACAAAGGTGTGAAGTAAAGTGAGTGTGCTTGATAAAATAATGCCATGAATACCTGTAAACTTTATCCATAGTGCAGGTCTCAGTCCACCTGCACACAGTGTTTCCAGATACTGGGCAGGTCAGCTGTTCCTTCATCTTGGAAAAGCTGCAACAGTTCCTGCTGTCTCAGTGTCTCTGCCTGAGACTGACTCCATGCTGAGGTCAGGGTTCTGTAGGATATACTGTACACCCCAGACCATCTGCTGCAGGACTCTTGGAGTCCTGCACTCAGTGTCAGGCTGCAGAATAAACATAGGACCAGTCAGACACTTCCCTGATGGTGATGGGTGAGAATCTAAACATCCAAAGTGCCTAAAACCTTTGCCTAATCTCTGTGTGTAAGTACATTTAATTGGTTTGTTTTAAATGGCACAGTCTCCTGGGCACATTTCTGTGAACTTGACTGATCACTGCTGCTCCATGGAGGCTGAACCCTTTTGATTTCAAAGACCTTTCCTCTATTCAGTTTTTTATTTGTATAGCACCAAATCACAACAAAAATCCTTTCAAGGCACTTTAAAAAGTATGGTCTAGACCATATTATAATTATTATTAGTATAGAGGAAAAACCCCACAGCAGATCATAACTAATCCTGTAGAGCATCGAGCCAGAAAACTGGACTAAACCTAAATTAATTTAAATCTCTCTCTTTGTCATTTGTGAGATGATTAAGTGTATTAAATGCATGTTCTTATGTGCATCTCCATACAGACTCGGAGTTAGATTCTGTGTTACCGTCGCTGATACGGAGAGTGGAAGAGTGGGAGAGGAAGACAGACTGACAGAGGTGTGACTCAGACGCTCTCCTGTCAGACAGCTGGGACAACAGAACAACAAGGAGGAGGAGATAAACAACAGCCGTAGTGATGGAGCTCTGCATACGTGGGAAGGATGAAGTGTCTGTCAGCTGTTGCCTCCACCCATCTGTCAGGAGAAAACTGAAAGGAACAAAACAGGTCTGTGCATTTCTGCTCTCTAACTATAAATCACATAAAGGTTGCACTAATGTGCACACCAACAGCTTTTAATCTATGTCCCTCTGACTGGCTGCAGCTGTATCTACTAAAAGGAAACCATACAGAGTCATGCAGGAACATTGGGTGCATCTAATTCTGTTTACACTACATATTACGTTTTGCTATATTTGAATATATAAAAAAAGATTGAAAGTCAAAGGTCTGAGTGCAGCCCGACCCCTGCAGTACAAAGGCCAGTCCAACAGGGGGCGGTATAAAGGTATCCATTCGTTAAATGAACCACCAAAGAAGTAACAACAACAACTGATTCATTGCTGCAGTAACTTTACCGTGATGGATGAACTCGAGTTTGATGATGTCTTAGATGACTGGTTCATCGAGTCCCTGAAAACGTGAGAAGGCTTTTTTTTTTTTTAACTCTTTGTTTAAACAGTGAATTGTGTGTGTTAGCAGCTAACCAGAAACCACTCGCTCAGCAGCAGCAGTGCTACTAGCTAGCCTTGCTAAGTGAACTCCGCTTTAAAATTTGGATGTCGTTATTTCCCTTTACTAAGCTTCAGGTGCACATCCTTCATAAACCGCTTAGCAAGACATTTCCGCATCTAATTCAGCAATTCTCCAGTCCGTTTTTTTCAAGTTTAAGGAGTAATGACCAGGTAAACTCGAGCATGTTCCCATTTGAAAATCGCTGGATTCCACACCGCAACACCGATGCCAGCTTTCTGTAAAACAAACAAACAAACAAAAAAAAAGTTCATGGGATTATAACGATGCTGAATTGAAGAGTGGATTTTTAAAAAGAAGCAGCATAATTTAGTTAATATACACGTACTGGACTCCTAAGATGCGAAATCAATAAATATTTAACATTTTTGCATAGGATTCTGGTGTCAAACCTAAAAAGAATCATGGTTTAATGTAAAAAGTAGATTTAAAAAAATACAAATAATGTTAACATAAACTAATATAGGAATAATTTTACATTACGGAGAATGGCGAAGTGAAGTTGTGGATTTAATCTCTACATGCGAATTTAATTCTCAGCACCTGTGGCTGTCTGGGGTGAGCAGTGGTTCAGAGCCACTGAACCACAAAATAAAACAAAGCATCGGATCAGTTTCAGTTATGTCAGCAGCACTGTGATCAGCTGAACACACCTGTCAAGTGCTGTGGTTGACTGGTTGACAAGACTAAATCCAGTGTTGTGTCGAGATGCGTTTCCCTTGAACCTGAACCTAAACATTATCTTAACGACAACCACTGAAGGCAGCGATACGTGAAACCGAGTTTTTAACAAGGGGAACACCTAAGACACAAGACCTGCAACAGGTGCACACTGACATTCTGGGGTTGTTCTAACAATGCTGCAGGGGCACTACACACATATCCTTGGAAACTTTGTTTTTAGAGCTATTCAGCTGTTAAACATATCTAAACTGCTTCACAAATTTTTATCCAGGCCTAAAATACCCATGTACTGTAACTAGAATTCAACATTGGATCATGAAATGTGTTCAGGAAATGTTCACATGCTACTTGCACCTCAGTACAGAAAGGACAGACTGTTTGGGATGTGGAGTCAGACACTCATGCACAGATGATCAGAAACTCTAATGTTAGGATCACTGACCTTCAGTAACTGAATGTTCCATATGAATCTGGTTAAACTAGAATAAATCAGATCAGGAACAAGTTTTCATTGGCTTTTAAATTACAGATGATAATGTTGCCATGACACAGACCAGAAGCTGAGTGAAGCTGAACTGAAAGAATAAAATATTGTAATTGTGTGTCAGCTATCCAGAAATGACTTCAACTGTCTGTAATGTTGTGCAGTGTGTTGAATTTGTGACCTTTGAGAAGACTTGATTGTTTACTGCCTCTCTGCTTCTTCCAGGTACAGAGATCTTCATGTGTACCAGCTGGAACATCCCACCCAGGTCATTGAATGGACATCAGAGAAGAGTGAGTCATTTTATTTCATTATAACAGCATGGGACTGTGACTCTAACACCAGTCTGCAAAATTTAATGATGTATCTCAAGCAAACATCCATGTGAATCAAAAGGAAGCTTGCTCCCCTTAACTGACTGCTGCTCCACACATACTATATACAGCTGGGTGATAACTACTATCACCCAGCGCCCAGCAGGGCTCTGTCAGGGCCGTGTCTCCAGAGCAGCATCCGGTCTCCTCTGTCAGAGGGGAGGAAACATCCTCCTCCCAAACCAGATCCCCTCACTGTGTCGTCCTCATGAAGCCATTCAGTGACCTAGAGCTGCAGCCATGAGTTAGTTCACTGGTAGAAAATTAACCGGCAACTATCAATCAGATCAACAAGACTTTGATCAGCTGATTGATCAGTGACTCTGCTGTTTGTGTTTCTACTCAATCAGGAGTTCCAGATGCTGGTCATATGTTGTTATAGGATTTTTAAACACCAAACTATCAATGCCAGTTTGCATGTTCCAGAACAAACAGGCTAAAAACAGTATTTAATGCAGTTGTTACACTGAAAAGCAGCAAATGTACCAGTGTATGACAGTGTTTGTTGTGTTCACAGCCGTCTGTGTCGCAGGATGTAGTTTGAAGAAAAATGAAATTTTGGAGCTTCGTTTGCCCCTGAGACTGTTTGCTGAAGAAAATAAGGTAATAAATGTCCATATTTGTGGTTTATATTACTACGGTGATGATTCCAGTGTCACTCTGAGCCTCTGCTGTGTGTTGATGTGTTCAGGGTCTCTGTGCAGAGCGGGATTTCAAAGTTGTTCATGGTGGGTTTACAGACGGACCTGTTCGCTGCCTCAGACACATCCCAGGAACAAGGTGAGTCTCTGACACACACGAAGGAGACAAATCAACTGCACTGGACTGTTTTTTTAAATGTGTGAAACCCTGTTCTGCATGAAACTTCAAAGCTTATTTCACTTTAGTGAAGTGAAAATAAATTCAATAAACCAGGTACAAAGACATGAAGCCCAACTGTGTCAAGAGCCTTCAGCATCTTGGGGCGAATCTCATCCACCCCGGGTTGCTTTGCCCCTGAGAAGCTTTTTGGCTACTTCAGTGACCTCTGCCAGAGATATGGGTGTAGTTTCCCTGAGTCTTCCACCTCTTTTTCCTTGGAGGACATGTTAGACAGGTTCAGGAGTTCCTCAGTGTGCAAATTCCACCACTCAACAATATCTCCAGTCCGTGTCTGCAGTTCTCCTCTCCTGCCAACCTTAACCTATGCCAAGCCCTGCATTCCCTTTCTGAGTTGTCAGATGGTTTGCCAGAACTCCCTTGAGGCCAACCGAAAGTCCTTCTCCATAGCCTCACCAAATTCCTCCCACACCAGAGTTTTTGCATCCGTAACCTTCTGAGTTGCAGTCGCCTGCCGGTACCCATCAGCTGCTTCTGGAGACCCCTGAGCCAACCAAGTCCTGTAGGCCGTCTCCTTCAGTTTGTCAGTTTCCTTCACCCCTGGTGTCTACCAGTGGGTTCTCAGGTTGCCGCCAGGACAGACACCAATGACCATCTGGACACAACTCAGAATAGCTACTTCTACAATGGAAGATTTGAATGTGATCCATTTGGATTCCATGTCCCCAGCCTACCCCTGGATGTGAGAGAAAATCTTCAAGAGGTGAGAGCTAAAGACCTCCTGGACAGGGGCTTCAGCTAGGGGTTCCCATTGCACCCTCGCTACATGTTTTGGTTTGCCAGGTAAGTCCAGAAGCCTCCCCACTATCTGATCCAACTCACCACCAGTTGGTGACAGTTGACAGCTCTGCTCCTCTCTTTACCCGAGTGCCCAAGACATACGGCCTTAGATTTGATGATACGATGACAAAGTCAATCATCATTCTAAGGCCTAAGGTGTTCTGATGACAACATGATACGATGACAAAGTCAATCATCATTCTAAGGCCTAAGGTGTTCTGATGACAAGTACACTTATGAACAGCCTCAAACATGGTCTTTACTATGGCCAATCTGTGCTATGGTGACTAGCACAGAAGTACAGTAACAAAGAACCATTCGGATTCAGATCGGCAGGCTGTTCCTCCCAGTCACCCCCTTCCAGGTTTCTCCATCATTACCCATGTGAGCGTTGAAGTCCCCCAGCAAAATTATGGAGTCCCCAGGTAGTGCCCCTTCAAAGACACCACCCAGGGTCTCCAAGAAGGACACATACTCTGAACCACTGTTTGGTGAATAGGCACAAACAGCAGTCAGGGCTTTCCTCTCAGAGAAGTCACATAGAGGCAACCCTCTCGTTCCACAGGGAGAACTCCAACACAGCGGCGCTCAGCCTGGGATTTGTAAGTATCCCCACACCTGCCCAGTGTCTCTCACCCTGAGCAACTCCAGAAAAGGAGTTTGATTCCAGAGCCAGAACTATGTGTAAGTCCAACTGTATCTACTTCACATCGCTCCACATCCTGCACAAGCTCCAGCTCCTTCCCCACTAGAGATGATATTCCATGTTCCTAGAGCTAGCCAACACAGCCAGAGATCAGTATGCCCAGTCTTGCTCATAGTTTGTTTTATCAGGAACAGTTCTGATATTTGAAGAATCTTTTTTTTCAAGCAAATTTAACAAAAATTCTCTGAAATGTGACAATTTGCTGCTTTTCCCTGTAAACTGAATGTCTGTGTTTTACTGTTGCTCAGGCAAAACAAACAATTGGATAACATCATGCTGGACTCTTGTAATGTGCATTTCCTATTTTCTGAAATTTTGTAGATCAATATCAGTGGAGAATTTATGAAGAAATAATATTTGCACTTATAATGTGCAACAGCTGAGTGAAGCAGCTCAGACTTAACTCTCAGATTTGAACTCTTGAGGAAAAAGAGGTGGATTATTTGGCACCATGAGCGGGTGATTTAATCTTGTTTGCATATTTAACATCCTGTTGTTGTTTTAAAGGTGTCTTGTGACCAATGACGGGCTGAGCGCCGAGCTGCAGCTGTGGGGCCTCGGAGGAGACGACAGCAGTGAGTTTCATTTCTCTGAAGCTCCTCAGTGTGAAGTGGCAGCACATTTAACATGAAGGGAGAATGCAGATTTGCAGATTTCATGTCATGCTTTGGCCTGTTTGTTTGCGTTACCTGGGGGGGTTAAGTTTCCACTTTTTTTTTTTTTTTTTTTTATGTCTCTAGGTGTTTTGGGTTTTTGACATCAAACTCAGACTTTGTCTTATAAGCTAATTTATTTCTGAAATGTGATCAGTCCTGTACTGCGGTCTTGTTGTTCAATCACAGATGTGATCAGAAGAACAGGAAGCATCGAGGGCAGCAGGAGTGTTTTGGAGTGCGGCAGCAGGATCGCCGTGCGAGACTCATCACGGCCACAAGTTCTTCACGGGGCTCAGAGCAGTGGCGTCCAGCTGACGGAGCTGAGCTCAGGACAGATGCTGTACAAGCTAGGTAACACTGTGGCTTCTGTCACCTAGCAGCTTTTTGTCTTAGTGCTCTGATATAAATAATTCATTTTTATTGGTAGCATCAGTTTAGATACAGTTGGTAGCTGTGCAGCAGCAGGTGGAATCACACAACTTGGCAGTAGAGTCTGGGTTTGTTGTGTGTTCAGAAGTTTGTTTAACTGGACCTGTCTCAATTTCATACTGCAGAGTAAAAATACACCTTAGATGTTTTACATTGTGCTGTTGATGAATGCTGAAAATTTTAAATACAGAGTGGAAGGTGAAAAGCAGCAGCACTGTAAAGTCACCCTTTAAGTTGTAGTTTAAATCTTACTGAAATGATTGACAGGAAAATTATCCTCAAACTGTTTTGATGCTTGATTAATATGTTGTCATTTCCCAAGCAGAAATAGTGAAACAAAGCAAAACTTCACATTCCACTTTTTTCAGTGAAAGGTTGTGCTGCTTTTCTTTGACTCGTCATTGTAAACTGAATATTTTGGGTTTTGGACAAACAAACTTCCTGTTCAGTTCTGCAAAGTTTCAACAGGAAATTTTTAATGTTTCATACACTAAAGCTGAGCTGAGACCTAGGTCGGTAAAAAATGCAGCGTTCAAGTGTTCAACCTGCATCTTTAGGTGCCGTTATAGGTGAAAACACTGGTGACAAAAAAGTACATTAAAAGCCTTTATTAAGTCAGATATAAGCTTAGTGAGTGTCAGCGAGTTAACTAACCCCCGCTGAGGCAGCACAGGCCTGCTGAGGAGCTTCTGGCTGCAGTTTCAGCAGCAAGTATGTTGATTACTTTCCCATTTTCCTTCAGCTGGTCTTCACTTTCCAACCCGGTGACTCTAGTAAAAAAAAAAAAAAAAAAGACAGGTTCCCCCAATAGTGGTGGATGTTTTACTGGTTTATTGAATGTCTCTGTCTTTTCTGGTTATTTTGTTGCACCAGACACAGATGCAGCAGATCCTCTGAGTTCCCTACAGTTTGTGAGTGACAGTGTTTTCCTCGCCAGCTGCTGTAACGGGAACATTTACGTCGCTGACACTCGGACATCTGCTGCTCCTCAGCTGTATCCTCCACCAGCATGTTCAGGTGAATCTGTCTTCTGGTGGACGGACGCCTCCTCTGGTCCAGACCTGTCTGGCTGCAAGGTCATCAGACTCTCCTCGTCCGGACAGGCCATGGTGTCAGACCTGAGGAGCCTGGAAGGAGCTGTGAGTCAAGCTCATCTGGACATTCAGGCATGTCACCATGGCCTGGATGTCGTCAGGGTGTCCTGGGCTCCAGTGCTGGACAACTGCATCGCTTTGTCAGGTAAGTTTATAAGTACGGAAGGAGGAGAGATGTAGAAATGGAGACAGGAAGAGAGAAGTCAAAATGTAAGCTAGTATATGCTAGTTGTAAAACTGTTCAAGCTAGTTTGTGGCGCAACTGTGGTTCAGTGGGTAGAGTGGTCGTCTCTCAACTGGAGGGTTGGAGGTCCAAATCACAGTTCCACATATCGAAGTGTCCTTGGGCAAGACACTGAAACCCCAAGTTGCCCCTGATGGTTGGAGCCATCGATGTTGGTGCCGCAGATGGCTGCCTTGGTTCTGTACTGGAAACAAGCTCCTTGTATGTGCAATATGCTTGGCCAAATAAAAGTGATTATCCTGATCATTAACTAGCAGACTAGCAGCAGAACTGTAACTGTTGTACAATTATAATACAATAGCACTACCATCCATCAAAAACAGACTAGACTCGTATCTTTAGCGAAGTGACACCCTGGAGACACGATGTGGCTGTACCCTGTGGAAATGAGAGATTACATTTTAGGGCTGGGCAATTAATCATAATTTAATTTCAAGTATAATTTTGGCTACCAATGATTATGAAAACTAAAGATAAAACAAGTATTGTGCTGCACTCCATTTCACAATGATGATGCTGTTTTGTCTTGTGTTATATACACCGATCAGGCATAACATTATGACCACCTGTCTAATACTGTTTATACAGGAATCAATGTGGCAGTTGGTTGGCACGCCTCTCACTCTGTATCTTCTGTGGATCCATTTACTTCCACAGTTATACTGTCAGTAAGAGCACAATTCAGTGAGAAAATTATGTAAAAGGTGTAAAAACTGTGGTCATGAGGACAAGTCAGAGAATTTTTTTAGACCAATTCAACAGCCTCACCACTCTAGGTATATCACCACTAAAGCCCCTGACTCCTTCTCTTCAACCAATGTACAGTATTTCTCATTTTCAACCATTTTAACAAAGATTCAAATAAACTTTAATCTTCTGAAAAAGTACAAATGGAAGTTAAGTTTAATCTACAGTAGGTCAACCTCAGGTACTAACCACTGCAGACCAAGAACACCCACCAAGACCTGCAGTCATCTCACCATCACAGTTTGGCCCTTGTCAGAGTCACTCAGATCCTTATGCTGCCCATTTTCCTGCTTCCAACACATCAACATTGAGGATTGAATGCTCACTTCATCATCATCATCTTTATTTATATAGCACATTTAACACAGCCAGAGCTGACCAAAGTGCTTAACACAATATCCACAAAAACCCATTAAGACAAAAATAAAGCAAGCAACAGTAAAACAACATCACACTTAAAAACAACCCTCCTTCATGAAACAAAGGCTCAACAAGACAGAGGCTTGAACGCCAAACGGTACAGATGAGTTTTCAAATAAGTTTTAAAAGTGAACAACGAGGGGGCCTGCCTAATGTAAAGGGGCAATGCATTCCACAACTTAGGAGCCCCCACAGAGAAGGCTCTGTCCCCCCTAAGTCTCCGCCTAGCCCTC